TACCCTGCGAGTTTGGAGCCTCTCCCTCAAACCCCCTCCCCTCCAGCCCCCAGAATATACCCTGTGTTTTCGCCATTGACTTCAATGGTCCATAGGATATAATGGGGCCAATTCGGTGGCAAGCCGATTCAGATCAGAGAATCTGAATCGGCCTGCAACAGCCCGAAAGGGGTCCGAATGGGTCATTTTTGGGAGTGCATTCGGTTCGGATCCGACATCCCTAGTCAATAGTTTGTCAAACTCGGGTTCGCCTTTTGCTATGTTTTCTATACCTGTAGTATTACCAACCTGCTTTATGTAACCCGCACCCCCATTCCCTTCCCCCTCGCTTCGCTGGCTACAGCAGATGTATTCAGCCATCCGCTTATCGCTCACCCTCACTGACATTCCTGGTGGGAGGGAGAGTAACTGTGGGAGGGAGGGAGCCTGTAGTTTAGGGAGGCAATGCTGGTAACCTTTTTTCTCAAGCAGCACCCCAGGAACTTTCACATGAGCATGTCCTTGAAGATGAAAAGACTTTTGAATGGCTAGTTGAGCCATTGTAACTGTAGTATGAATGGGAATATAAAGATTTTTATATATATATGGGTTTTTTCTTCTTGATTGTTCATATTCATATTTTTCTTGATTTTATGGATTTTTCTTTTAAATAATATTTTATTAGAATGTTCAAAAAAGCCTGTTATATAGAAGGCTTTCCCCTTGTAGGTCTGATATTGTTAGCAGACAACATAATAGGTACAAAGTTCATGATTCTGTAGTTCTTAAGGGCAATGTCTGGGTCAGACAAGATTTTGGTCTCCTATCAGGAAAAAAACACTTTTATTTAGGGTATGAAGAATCCTTGCCCATTATCATTTTAGGTTAGGTTAAGTAAACACTTAGATTTTACGTAGGTACATTTCACTTTACATCTGGCCAATCAGAGGATTATTACTCAAATTACCATTGTCTTTTATAACCAATTATGCTTTTTGAATATTGTTTTCTTGATGATGTCAGTCAGTCCATGTATAAAAGATCATGTATTTCCTGGATACGGGAAGAAGAAAGCATATTTCCTGAATATGCTGAAAAGAAAACAGTCAGTTTTTGCTGCGTTATTTGGTCCAATTGTTTTCCTGTTAATTGAAATAAAACATAGATCTCATTTGACTTAATTTTTTACACAGAATCTAATATGTACATGGAATCTAATATGTATCCTGGGTTCTTAGGATGGCTTATACTTATGAATGTGTGACGTGTGCGTGGAATGTGGGTTTTGGTTCTACACTGGGTCCCCGCTTCTACCCCTCAGTCCTGACAAAGAAGTCACCTTTGCAGCATCTCAAACCTCTTCAATAAACTTTCAAACCAAGAAAGACTGCGTAGAGAATGAGTTGACTGGGAGCCTGACATAGCTTTGACTAGGCCTGCCCCCCCCTCCTTGAGTTTGTTCATCCAGTTTAAAAAGCCATCTCATCCAGTAGCCAAAGGTCGGGGTGGGAGCTAGGGAGGTCCAGATGTTGTAAGGAGGATCGTGGTGGGATCTGAAGGAGGAAAACAGTCGGGTCTGTTGAGTGTAAAGAAATAAACATTCAGATGTATATATGGAAGATGTTCCTTCAAGAAGTAGACATTCTGAAAACCGCTATCTTGGGGGATATTATTGACGTTTCATACTGGGTTGACTTTAACGCAGCGTGACACACTCCCTTTGCAGGCTTGATTCGCGACGTGATGGAAAAGCGGTTGGGTGCTTTTGAACCAGCCCCACCACCGGAAGAAGTCATCCACCCTCCCGGCGAGGAAGTTGATCGCACACCCTCCATTGAGGTAGTTATAAGGACTGAGACCTCGGATCAAGTGGAAGGCTCAGCTGAGCCAGAAGCCTCGGGTCAAGCGGAAGGTTCGGCTCAGCCGGAAGCCTCGGATCAAGCGGAAGGTTCGGCTCAGCAAGAAACTTCGGATCAGGTGGAAGGTTCGGCTCAGCTGGAAGCCTTGGATCAGGCAGAAGGCTCAGCTCTGCCGGAAGCCTCAGATCAGGCCAAAGCAGCAGAAGAGCCAGAAACCAAGGAGGCTGAACCCCAGTGAAGGACAAAGATATCAGGTAATGGGTAACAAGTAGGACTAGCCAAGAAGGGGAGCATGATGTTATTTACATTGAAGGGTGTCACGAAGGGTCCTCATGAAATATGTAGCTTGTCAGAGCGCAGACTGGTGAGTAGCAGCTACTAAGTAACCACAGAGATGCTGTTTTACATACTTGATCTGCATGCAAAAGGTCCCAGCATCAGTTCCCAGCATCTCCAGATACAGGATCGTGGGGGAGCAGGTCCTGGGAAAGGCCTTTCTGTCCCCAAAACCTTGGAGAGCTGCTGCTACTCAAGGGAGACCTACTGAGCTAGATGGACCAATAGCTATAGTTGTCTCTTGGGCCTCGTTTTTTTTTCAATTATGTAAGCATATTTCTGTGTAAAATAGAGAGGTAGCTGTTTTTTAGAAAGAGAACATTGGATTGGATCCTGCAGAATTGTTTCACCCACGGCAGCGCTTTCCTCCAAGGAGCTTTTCCACCCCTGCAACACCAACGAGTGACCGCCGGTGGGGCCGACCCGCATCTTTTTTGCTGACATTCCCCACGCCTTGCCACTAGATGTCAGCAGTGTCCCTGGGAAGCCAAAACCAGTGCTCGAACGGCTTCCTCCTAGGCAAAAGTTCTTTACAACTGGTCCAAAGTCAAAGCCTCCTAACAGATCAGAATCCACATAATAACAGTGACCCAAAACAGCCCCAGCTTTTGAGTCCGCCAGAATTCTTCCTCTGGCTGGATGATATAAAACAAACAAAAGAAGTGGTCAGGGGGAGAGAAGGTTTCAGGCCCTGGTTTTAAAGGCTTCTTTACACCAGCATCTCAGTACTGAGTCCCAGCAGGCAAGTAGACAGACAGACGGTTTGGTGCCTTTGATGTCAGGTTGCGCCCAGGTTCTGGCGAAGAAGAAGACGAGGAGGAGGAGGAAGAGATTGGATTTATGCCCCGCCCTTCACTACCCAAAGGAGTCTCAGAGTGCCTTGTAATCTCCTTTCCCTCCCCCTCCCCACGACAGACACCCTGACCGATTTCACACGAGAGCTGCGCCCTTTGCCCCGCTTCTGTTGGTCAATTTCCCACTCGAAGCCACACGGCCGCATTTTAACCCGCGGCTTCGCCCGATTTCCCCCGCGGTTTCGTGATCCTCAAAAAACAGGATCATGAAACCGCGGGGGGAATTGGGCAAAGCCGCGGGTCAAAACGCAGCCGCGTGGCTTCGAGTGGGAAATGGGGCAAAGGGAGGCGTGACGGCGGCGCAGCTCCTTGTGCAAAATCAGCCCCGTGAGGAGGGACTGAGAGAGCTCTGAGAGAACTGCTCTTGAGAGAACAGCTCTGAGAGAACTTGTGACTGACCCAAGGTCACACCAGCAGGTGAAAGTGGAGGGTTGGGGAATCAAACCCGGTTCTCCCAGATTAGAGTCTGCGCTCCTAACCACGACACCAAAATGGGGGGGGGGAACCCCTAAGGGCGTGTCTCCACTGGAATTACAAAGGCCAGCAGTTTTCTGGGTCTCCCTCTGACACCAAGAGAGAGTCACAGACAGAGCCCTTTTTAGGGCAGAGAGGAAAGGAATGGCTGGACACTCCCTCATAGCCAAGACGGGTCTTTTAATATGTTTTGCGGCCCATGTAAATGTTGCAAATGATGCTGAAACGGGCGTGCCCATCTTTACGGTTGCTAACTCCATGGAGATTTGGAAGTGGAGCCTGGGGAGGGACGTCAGAGGCACGTAATGCCATAGAGTCCTGCCGCCAAAGCTGCCATTTTATCCATGGGAACTGATCCCCGTGGTATGGAGCTCAGTCATGATTCCATGAACTCTCCAGGCCCTAACTGGAGGTTGGCGACCCTGCCTGTCTTCCACTTGTGTGCTGTGACCAGCTGGGGGGGGGGCACTCTGAAGCCCAACATGCTGAGGTTTAGGGACTTGAATACTCATTCGCTGACAATCCAACAGCTGTTTCCAAGGTTCTTTTAGGCTGCGGTCACTCACACTAAATCAGGGGTGTCAAACATGTGGCCCGGGGGCCGGATTAGGCCCCCGGAGGGCTCCTATCAGGCCCACAGTGGAACCGGCTGTCTTCTGCTTCTCCTTCCAGTTCTGCTGCTACTGCGTCATCGTAGTTTTGCAGCTTACAGATATACACCTGAACAGCAGACTCAAGATTGCAACAGCACAGACATTTTGATGCAGTAATTCAGAGCAAGAGGTGTCAGTTATCAGACACTGTTAAATAAACAAAACATTGCGAGGGTGCTGATGTTTTAAGCATGTGTCCTTTATAAAGTTTATATCTCCACCACCTGGCATTATAACACACACGGCCCGGCCTAACGAGGTCTCATTTATGTCAGATACGGCCCTCATAACAAATGAGTTCAACGCCCCTGCGCTAAATCTACTTTCAATGCACTTTTGAGTTGGATTTTGCCAGTTCACACAAATCCAGTTGGAAAGTGCATTGAAAGTGGCTTATTTAGGGTGTATGACCGCAGCCTTAGATGATTTAACCCACGTCAAAAGGATAGGAGTACTCCATAGTGTGTGTGGCAGGGAGTTTGGTAATTTCCTCCCTCCCCCTCGTCTTGGTGGATTTGCTCCTCAAGCTAATGGGCTGGCATGAAAAAAGTGGGGAACACAGAGCTAGTGTGGTCTAGTGGTTAGAGATTAGCACTGGCGAGACCAGTGTTCAAATCCTCACCCTGCCATGACGCTTGCTGGGTGGCTTTGAGCTGGTCACACCCTCTCAGCCTAACCTCTGTCACAGGGTTGTTAGAAAGCTCAGTTGCAGGAGGGGAGAGTCTTGTGTGCCTCCCTCCCTGGAGGACGGGCAGGATTAAAATGTGATGGATTGACACTGCCTATCAGGGATTTGAGCGGAGCCAGTTTGGTGTCGTGGTTAGGAGCACAGACTGTAATCTGGGGGAACCGGGTTTGATCCCCCACTCCTCCACATGCAGCTGCTGGTGTGACCTTGGGTCAGTCACAAGTTCTCTCTGAGCTGTTCTCTCAAGGGCAGTCCTCGAAAGAGCTCTCTCAGCCCCACCTACCTCCCAGGCTGTCTGTTGTGAGGAGGGGAAGGGGACGGGATTGTAAACTGCTCTGAGACTCCTTTGGGTAGTGAAGGGAGGGGAGTAAATCCAATCTCCTCTCTCTCTCTCTCTCTTCTATCTATTCTTTGCTGCTGTTGGCTGGGAAGCTGGCTCCATCCCCTTATACTCCAGCCAAGTTGTTGGTCTTCCTGAGGGCATAGAGGAGAAGGAGAAGAACGGAGTTAATGGGCTATATTTTAATTCAATTTGTCAGCCAGATGAGTAGAGCTCTCCACTGAAGTTGTTACTGGAAGGTTTAGCAAACCTTAAGCATTGAAACAACCAGATGGGGGAGGCTTCCAAAACTCTCCTCTTCCCAGCTGATCCCCGTTTTTTGAATTAGCGAACCCTCTTTATTGCAAAATGAAATTGATGCACATTTGTACCCTCCCTCATTCTGCTTTTAATTTCCGAGAGCTGAGAATGTACTGCTGAAAGAAATGCCCTCTCAGTCCCTTAGCCAGGATTTTGTGGCTTGTGAGGCAAATGTGTTTTTCTGGTGGGGCTGAAGTACTCAGTGCAGAAAGAAAATCCATTTAGCCAATAGAAAGCTGTTGCCAGGGATAGATCTCTAAATTGCAAGTTGTCAAGCACTTGAGATGACAGATCTCAGCTGCTGCAAGTTAATCGCTTCCTCCAGCCTAAGCAACAATTCTGGTAACAAGCCGGCAGGTGAGGCTGATGGCTTCTATAGTCAAGAAAGCTAACACTTAGGCAGAAAAGCTCTTTTAAAGGAGATCACTTTCTTGACACAGAGTTAGGGATCCTAGAGGTCACCTACTCCAACCCCCTTCCTCAGCGCGGGAATTAGTCAACTACAGCACCCCACTCTGCTTAAAATGTTTTAAAATGATTGCAAAAAAGCCTGTACAGGAGAAATGTTTGTGGGGCTGTGCCTTTATTTTTATTTGACTTATATCCTGCACTCCCCGCATAGCAGGTTTTAAAGGGGGGGCAGATCCCCAAAAGCCCCACTGTAGCTACGGGCCCTGCCCTTCTTGATGCAGTCCAGCTTATGACTGGCCAGAGATTCCTTTTGTGCCTTGTTCTGATGCGGTCTGTCTTGAACCTCTGACACAAAGAATCGTAACACAGCCATGGATACAATCCCACAAAAGGGCTGCTTTTTTTGGTAGGGTTTTCATAAAAGTGTTCCATGGGGGGGGGTAGAGGGGAGATGAAAATGGACTGAAGGAATTGGAAGCTTTGGCAGAGGATACACATGTGTCGTTTATTAGCGCTTCTAGAAGGGATAGAATGATGTCAGTGATCACAGCTTCATTTTGCCGTGTCTTTACAGGGAACACAGCGAATGCCAAGACACTGCACCAGCAGTGTTGTGAAAAGCCATTGACAAACCATGAAATTTAATTCATTGCGGCAGGCGGGCGATGAAACCGGATGTGATGCGTTCTGAAAATCTTTGCAAGATCCATCCCTGTCAACTCTGTGTAAAAAACAAAAAATGGTTTCTATATTTTCTCAATAAATAGGCTTTAGTTTTTTGCATTCTTGTTTAAGAAGTTTTAGTGCACTGACTCGCTGTATGCAATCCAGCAAAAGCTAGTTGGGGATCAACTCTGATTGAGAAGTCAATCGAGTTGCAATTTAATTGGACACAATAACAACAAGCTTCTGCCGGGTTGTAAGTTTCTTTGTTCTCTCAAAGGTTCTCTTGGGTTTTAGAAGATGTTTCCACTAAATAGGGTGTGAGATCTTTCTTTTCCAACAGTTAAGGATGTTGTGTTTGTATTTGGTTGAATGCTAGAACTTAGCACAGGTTTCCTACAAATATACGTCTAGTAGCAAGTTTAGCATAATTTTGGGCTTTTTCCTTCAGTTGCATTTTAAGTCTGATTTGTTCATGACTTGAGCACAGAAAGAAAAATACTGTTTTTAAATATCGGT